CTCGGATGTGGTCATGACTATTGGTAGACACCCAGACGCACAGACACACACACACGCACGCACGCACGCACGCACACACGCACACACACACACACACACACACACACACACACACACACACACACACACACACACACACACGCACACACACGCATATACACATATATATATATATATATATATATATATATATATATATATATATATATATATATATATATATATATATATATATATATGTATATATATCGATGGCTGCTTGCCATAACTGAATAAGTCCACGATTGGCGATTTTCACTTTTTAGCGTTTTTTTAGCAAACTTTTGACGCTGTACAACCTCAAGAAGTGAGTAAGTCCTACCTCTATTATAAATGCAAGAAACAGAGGCCTTGTCAAATAATTTAAGTCCAGAAAACCCCTTAGGTGTACAGCCTAAAGTTAAAGTGAACTTTTTTAATATTCAGTTTTGCTGGAGTAATTTAAAAAAAAAAAATTTTTGTGAAGTGTTTTACGGCGCTCGCAACTGCATAGGTCATATGAGCGCGCGGGACACACCTAATATTTTCAGTTGGTAGGAAATTTCGAATTTTGCCCGGGTGGCGGCCGGAGCCTACTCTTATCGATTTTAGACCACCAAGGGATCTTTAACGTGCGCAACTTGCACACGGGCCCTCCGAGATTTTTCGCCCTTCTCCGAGAAGGCTAGGTGTAGATCTTTCCTACCAGAAGATCAGGGGTGTGGCAGAAAGACAGCAGTAAGGAGGAGCCAAGGAGTAGCAGTAGAAAGGCTGCAGAAAGAGTCATGAGCCCAGAGGAGGGGGGCAAAGGAGGTGAGAGGGTGGGGGCAGAAAGTAGAAATGAAAGCAGACAACAGAACATTGCTAGAGAGCAGGAAAGGAGGTGAAAGGAGACACTTTTTAGAGAAGAAAACTTTTCGGTCGCTACCCGGATTCGAACCCGGGACCTTTGAATGAGAGGCCAACACCTTAACCTCTAGGCCACGAGAGCCCCCCTAATTATTTCTTAGCACTTGAAAGTTTATATATGGCAAAAATGAATAAGTCACGTTATCCATTTTTTGCAGAAAACATCGGGCTATCTGACAGGGATCAACCCTGTTATTCACTTTTTGTGCTTGGTAGTCTCTTGAGCTAGAGGCCTTTTGATCTACTGCGCTGCCCTCATCATATTGGGACACTAAGTCTTTACTTGTGCGTTTGGGTAGATCCTTTGTAACATGAGCTCCAACGTAAACGATCACAGCCAGGCAAAAACTCAAAACCAGGATCTCACTCAGCCCAATACTTTTTTTTGACTGGGTCATTTTAAAGTACGGGTGTGCAAAAACTTCTTTTGTTAATATAAAAGTGCAGAGGGCGTTTTTGCTAGTGAACACAAAAGAAGGATGTGGAAGCATATTCCATGGAATAAAAAAAACCGAAGAGACGCTGGACGTAGGCAGAAACCATATCAAGCTCTTCCCAGTTATGGGGTCACATTTATACGCGAAAACACACCCAGAGAAAGTATTTGAACAAAACACAAAACATTTCTAAACTGTGCCAACTGTACCAGAGGTATTGTGAGGATCAAATGCCAGCCATAGAACCAGTTACCGAGATGGTCTACAGAACTGTGTTTTGGGAAGAATTCAACTTATCATTTTGTGTGCCCAAAAAAGACCATTGTGTTACGTTTTCAAAATTTAACAATTTGACAGGTGATGAAAACTCTGAAAAGCAGTTTTCACAAGCATTGCAAGACGAGAGCATAAAGCGTCACAAGGAAGCACAGTTAACTAAGCAGCAAGATAAAGATCGGGCCCAAACAGATGAACATCTCACCACTGCAACATATGATCTTCAAAGTGTTTTCCTATTGCCCAGCTGTGATGTTTCTCTGACATACTTGTCCAGAAACCTGTGTGTATAGAACTTGATAATCCTGGAAAATAAACCTCCAAATGAAGGTTTTTGCTTCTGTTGGACTGAGATTGAATGACGCCGTGGAAGTTGCGAAATAGCTACATGCCTATATTAGTGGGTAGGTTCCCTCTCTCGTGAGATTTCTGAAGTAAGCCTGTTCTCAGACACATGCTTAGGCACAAAAAAAGAAACGTGAATGTTTTAGCCATACTACTGTACATGATACAATCAAAGAGATTCAAAGTCATTACACAGAATGTCTTAGAATCTGGCCGTACGTTCATGGAGGTCGATTCTATGCACGCAGCAACAGAGCATGAGAAAAAAACACAGGGACTGTTTCTCTTTGACTGAGTGGACCAACATTTTAAAAAATGCTCGGCACTCAAAACAAAAAAACAACCAAAAAAAACAAAACCTACAATGTTAGGAGGCTGCAAAACTCCGGCTTCATGGATTCAGTTGCCTCTGAACTGATAAGCAACAGTAAAAAAAAAAAAAAAAAATTTAAAAAGACAAGACAAGCTTGGTGAGAGCATGAACTGGCTTTTTTGTAAATATTCTCAGGTCAGAGATGATTCTCCCAACACAATTATCTAATGTAAACTGACTGGCAGGTACAGAAAGCTGGACTGTGCTCTCCGTCGCAAATCCAAACCAAAAGATCCTGCGCTGAGAAAACTCTACAACAAAGAAATACCAGTGAGCAAAGCCAAGAAGCAAGACCTCCTAGGGCTTTTTAAGAAACGGATTGTCCCTGAAGAATTTCACAACTGGTACGATGACGGTGTACAGGATATTCTCCCTGAGCCTGACATTATAAACTCAACAAACCCAGAAAACTGTGATTAGTTATTTGGATCACTTGATTTTTTTGTCTGCAAAAAGAGTTGTCAGCCGCAAGTTATGGTACTCTCTTGATTGGAATCATGTACTAAATCCTTGACATTACTGTCTCAGAATTGTTTAATTGGTGGAGTAATTTTTTTAAAATTGAAAATATGTGCAGAGTGCATTATATTCTATAATTTTATATTTATTTTAGGCTGAGAGCCCTGAATCAGTAATGTGAGAAAAGATAAGATATTGGCTTTATTGTCCGAAATGACACATTTGTTTTGGTCTTGCAATTTTTTTAAAGTACAACATGGCTATAATATATCCTACGACATGTTTTTCTGTGTCACAGTTTTATGAAAGGTCTATTACTTCTTTGGCTCAGTTTGGTGTGATTGATTAGTGGGTGTGTTAGGTCTTCTTGAATGCTTTTTTTTTTTTTTCAAGCTCACTAGGATGAGGAGTGATTCCAGAGGTGGTGGTTCTTTCTGTGTATTTTTTAATTCTTTTTTTGATTATTTTGTTAATTAAGTTCCTTTTTGTCCAGTTGCCCAATATTCCCTCCCCC